TGAGCGAGGAGTTGCGTTGTAGGAGAACGGGTCCCTAAAGAGAGACAGGACGGAGGGGCGGGGGGGGGGGGGGGAAGGGGCAGTCGAGAACTGTAGGGTGTAGCCCAAGGATACTGTGTTGAGCAGCCAACAGTCAGATGCCACTCGTGACCATGTCAACTGAAAGGGGCACAGGCAGGTGAGGAAAGAACAGGGGAGTGGATCCAGGTACTTGATTGGGGCGCCATCCTAGGTCGCACCTTCAAAATGCCTGTCTCTGGGCCCCGTGTGTTTCAAAGGGCCAGGTTGAGCCTGGGCAATAGAGATCTGTGCTAAGGTGATTGTAGGCAGGAGGCTGGCTGGTACCAGGAGTGTGGGGACTTGTGCCTCGGTTCCAGTGATCCGTGTCTCATGGAAGGAGAGCGCGGCACCGGGAACCTGGACCTTCTAGCTGGTGACCTATGTTGCAGGACTGGTGTCCTAGGTTATGGGGACAGGGGCAAAGTCTGTGATCCGGGGACCAATGGTGCTCCCCTGCCCTTTGGGGAGGTTCCAAGATTGGCTTGCCATTGGGCTGTAGGGCCTTAGTCACTTCCAGCATTCATGGCACAGCATTCATGATACCGGTAAGCCCACCAGGTCTTTGGCCACTTGGGCTCTCTCAGATGATGATGGTCCCCTAGAAGCCAGGATCCCCTACCGCTCCTGGGAGTCAGATCCTTGGCTGGGGTAGGGGGTCCGACCGTAGCAGTACTCCCCTGTAGCTCTGGGGCGGGCACACGGCCTGAACTAGGTCCTTTGCCCAGAGCCCCCTTCCCCTCCTTGGACAGTGCCAGGGAGCCCTTTTTCTTCAGACACTTCTTGGGCACTGGCGAGGAGGATCAGTGCCGGGAGGATTCCAGTGCCAGCAGTGCCACTACACCAATGCTGAGGTGCTACAAGCGAAATCCGGTCAGGCGGACTCTGACGCCAGGTGCAGCGGCCTCCATCAGGAGGGCTCTCAAGTGGATGTCCCTCTCCTTTTGGGTTCTGGGATGAAAGTTTTTGCAAATCCTGCACTTATTCTTTATATGGGATTCCCCCAAGCACTTCAAACAGCTGCTGTGAGGAACACTGAGAGGCAATGGCCTGTTGCACAACAAACGCAGCTCCAGGGTAAAGTTCCAGCTGGGACTCTAACCACTAAACTAACACTTACTTAAAAACATACCTACAAACTATATAGAAAGGGAATAACAATGGGCTGTTAAGAACCGCTAATGCTCTTGCTATGCAATATAAGGTGCTCTGACCAACCGTCATGGGCAGTAAGAAAGAACTGAGAGGGAGCAGGGCTGGCGGTGCCTGATGTACCAACGCATGAGCATGACACTCAAGGGGGCACCACAGCCAACCCTATGGTCGGCAAAAATCTCTGATGACTGTGCACATGGGCGAGCACACACCTAGAATGGAATCGACATGAGCAAGCACTTGAAGAAGAATCTCCCTTTCCAATACGATCTCTAGTTTCTACCCCTCAGAGCCATGGAATATTCGACTTAATTCATGTAATCGTTACCACAGAAAATCTGCAGCAGGTGCAGGACTGAACCATTCCCATCTTCTACCCTAGGTAGGTGTGAATGGGAGAGGAATGCCACATACTGGGGAGGGGATGCCAGGGAGCAGGGGGGGAAAAAAGAGGGAACATTTTTGTGGCAAGTTGTTTTTTTATTGATTGCTGTTTGAAGCTTTTGGGAGATTGGAGATATTGAAACAAGATCCATGAAGACTGATTAGTAGGCAGAGAACAGATGGTATGGTAAAAAATAGATCATAGAGATCATAGAATATCAGAGTTGGAAGGAACCTCAGGAGGTTATCTAGTCCAACCCCCTGCTCAAAGCAAGACCAATCCCCAGACAGATTTTTACCCCAGTTCCCTAAATAGCCCCCTCAAGGATTGAACTCACAACCCTGGGTTTAGCAGGCCAATGCTCAAACCACTGAGCTATAGCATTATTCATTAATCTGTCAGACTCCGGCCACGTGGCATTGATAGATATTCTGTATACACATACTCACTCCACAATGTATGGTAATACCCATGTGATAAATTGCATTTATCATCATGCACCTTTGTCTCATATACATATATACAATATAATCAGCCTTGCAAAATTGTAATAACATTTTATTAGCCTATGCTCATAATCTACTTGCATGCCCTTTAGTGAGATTCTGATAATGAAAAAGCTAATTATATTTTCTAATTACTTGATATGAGCAGACTTTTACAAGAATTATAGTGAAATCTGAAAAACACACTCACCTCTGAAAAAACAGTGACTACTCCACTAATAATATAAACAAAAATTAGTGATGGCGAGAGTAGCAGCCCTTTCAAAGGTCTGTAAGAGCTCTCTTTGAAGTAATTGTCGATGTAGTGAATGCTGTGTGCTATTCGAATACTCATATTGAAGCAGTTTGCAAGGATAAAGCCTACACTGCCTTGCCACTGAGTCAAGAAATAAGAGACGCACAAGAATGTGAAGGACAAGGCCAGCATAACAAAATTGAACCTAAAGGAAAAAAGAGAAACAAGTTAAACAATGTATGCAGTAAAAATATTTATCCATTAACACCTACGTCAGCAAGAGTCCCACAATTTTTTCCCCTAAAAGAAGAAACCAAATTATGGTTAATTTTGAACATAAACAGAAGGGTAGGGATCAAATTAAGATGTGCTAATAAAGAAGGCTTATTGAAGGGTGTGGAGGAAAACAAAGAAAGAGCCACATTCAGTGTGAGATTTTTATTTTTAACAGTGAACCATACATTTCTGATTTCTCTTATCAGATTTGACAGACTAATTAAGCTTGCAAAATCTAAAGATTTCTACGATATATTAAAAATTCTTAAACAAGAAGGCACATTCATAAACTTCTGTAAACCTTGGTTAAAAAATTTACTTCACTTACAAATCAGCACTTTGAAAAGATCATGCAAGTCAGCTGGTTCAGTCTAAAAATCTCTGTGTATGAAAAGCAAGAGTGGAAAAGTCTTGTAACAGGGAGTTGTTGCACTCTGCTGAATAAAGGGCTGTTGCTAGTTTTAGCAAGGCCAGCAGTGTGTTAGCCTTTATAAACAGAACAGAACAAGATTCTGGTTAAAAAAAAAACAAAGCCAGATGGTCATTAAAACTTAATATATGAAGTGGATAGTTATAGCCTACTTAATTTCTGAGACTACATCGTTTTTTAAAATAGCCAGTATTGGGAAAGGGCTATAGTCTATATAAAAACATTTTTTGGCAAGCAATATTAATCTATTTTAATTTGAACTAAAGTGCAGTAGTGATGTTACACACACCCGCCACTCTCTGCAGGTGTGTAACATCTGCTAATTTTCAGCAAGCACGCATGCATTGGAACAGTCTCCCAGATTGCTGATATGTGGTTACTCCAACATGAAGTATATGTGCAATCAGTGTGCAGAGAGCTATACCAACCATTTTGCCCCTACAGAAACTTAGATGAAAATTCACTTCACTTGATCGAACTTCTATTTCTTTATAGTATCCATAGAAAAATATCCAGTTCATACATGATCATCCTGAATTGCAACAAGTTCATTAGTTCACAAAGTCACACCCATAATGACAGCTAAAATAGATGTGAACAAATAACTAATTCATGAAAATAGGGATTAATTCAACATTACAGCCCTAGTCTAAAAGACTACAGTGAATAACTTAAAGGCAGCATTGGTACAGCTGATAATGACAAGTCCTGCTGTCTTCCAGTAGATGAGCACTCTGCAGCTGTTGTATTTCCCAATTAAGCACAGATCACAAATCTACAGGCTTAAAATGCATGTTGTACATCTGACAAAAACTGCAAATTTAAAATGAGATGCAATTAATATAGCACTTTTTCAAATCAACAGAAAATTATTATATCGTAACAGCAATTATTCTGCCATAAGGTTGTGGTTAAAATGCAGTGTATGCTGCCATATTTTTATTGCTCTGCTCTTGATGCTCAGGAGTGAAATTCAGTTTGAAATTTGACATCTCAGTAAGATGCCTAGATTGCCAAAAAGACACGATAGGCATACAGTCTCACTAAAGCAGGCAATTATCCCAACATGTTAAAAGTCAGCTTTAAAATCTAATTTTAAAGTTTAAATTTTGGGGATTATTTTGATGAAGTGAAATAAAAAGTTAACAGTTGGAAAATTAAACTTTTAATTAAATTGACATTTAAAATGGATCAGTGGCTCAGACATTCAAACCTGTAAAGTCTGATAATTTAATGTAATGAAGACTTTGGTCCAAACAGTATATATGTTTAAAATATAATGTGAAAATTGTCTCTGTGTCAAGTCACATGACATACAAACTTGTTTCCTCAAGGCAGGATGTTTGCCAATCCAAAAATAGTCTCATTAATATTCTTATATTATTGCACTATTTTGACAGTCCTCTTATATTGATAACCATTTCACTTTTAAAAACCCAATATGTGACAGAATTGGGGAAATTTGGCGGGGGGGATGGGGACAGACTAGGTTTTTCCATGAAAGAGTCCTTTGTCAAAAATTTGAAAAGACCTGAAGTTTAATGAGTCTTATGTACATTATTTAATAAGACAGCTATTTTATGATGTATTGTAAAATTCCTGGACCTAATTAATTGATATATTGCCGAATACACAATCTTCTGTGCTGGCAAATATTTATGTTCACTTGCCTAAAATTAATAAGGTAATAACACATGCTGTACAATACAGTATTTAACACTTATATTTTTTTCTTTAAAGGAGAGTCAAATCTATAATTGAGATTGGCAAATTCTTTATAGTCAAACCCTCTCCTTGAAAAAGTTTGGAACCAAAAAAATGTTTGTAGCACCACTTAACAGTGACCAAAGCTGGTAGTCATAAGCATTATGCATCAACCCTTCTCCCTGTCAACAAAAGCAGCCTCTTCTACACATCAGCACAGATTTCAGAAAAATAGGAAATAATTAGCAATTAAAACAGTCAAGGAAATATTAGACTATATAGACAGGAATTTCATTCATTCAGAAAAATACCTGAGATGGAATATTTTTATAACTGAAATTTTTAAATGAGATGTATTACTAAATCAGTATACTTTACAATAAAAAATATTGCTATTATGGAAAGTTATTTTTAAAACTATTCAATGTGCACACGTATGGAAACTAAGGTTTCGGATTTTTTCCCCCATTTTCTTCCATTTCATACTTTGACCAGATATGCATTCTGTGTATATAATGTTAAAACTTATAGGTGCCCAAGATTATCCATTTAATCTATATTTAGACTGCTAAATAAGTAGCCTGTTTTTCAGCAGTGCTGAGGAGCAATGAACACCCTTTAACCACAAAGGGAGGAGTGGGTGCTGGCTGCAAAAAGTAAATAAAGTCACTTACCCAAACACCTATATATGGATTTAGGTGTGTAATCTTAGGAACCAGAGTCTGAACATTTTGACCATATTTATATTAGTTGAGACTGTATCGCTACTTTAGGACTAGCACTGAAGATGGGAAATTCAAAACTGAAGCTTAAGTGGTGAAACAACAGTATGTAAAAAGGAACCTGAATTTCCAAAGTGTTCCTCCCCCCGCATATCCCTCCCTCTAGGTACAGATGCACTGTAGACCGACAGAGTCAACCTGCAGTAAATTTGTTTTTCAGGAACACTTTAGGGGCTATTAATGGATCCACAAGCCTTCTTGCCTACCTGTCTACCTCCTCTTTGCACATAGAAGCAAATGTAAAACATTCTGTTACTCCATTGACAGCAAGAAGCAGGACATATAAAGAATAGCAGCGCAGGAGACTGGGACCTAAAAAATAGTAAAACAATAAATGAACCAATATTCCTATAATGAAGGCTCATGTATATACTTCTCTTATCTACTGGTACTCAAAGATCAATCCTTCAAATGTTTTCAAGGATGATTTTACCATTACAGCTACTTTTAAATTCAATCTGTAATCTAAATTACACAGGCATGTTCCTATCAATACCACTATAAGACAATGAGTAGACTAAACAAAAAGCCAAGGACACCACTTGTAGCTCAGATCTTTTTTTCCCCATAGCCAAAAGGATATTTTAATAGATGAGATTTCTTTAATAAAGACGAAAGCTTGTTAAATCCAGCATTGTCTATTGTAGAGGACTTGGGGAATAAGTCTGAGGTCAATCCTCAAGAGCTGGAAGCAAGTGAGAATATATATATACTCCAGCCAGGATATACGGTCATAAGAAACAGATAGCAACTGTGCTACACTGGGAGTTACATTAATATTTTTAATGGGACATAGGTAATTTATAAATGAGTTAAAAATTCTACACTAGTTTTGGAAATTGGTTTAATGCCTTTTAAAAGATTCTCGTGTGAACTTGTAAAGGTGAGAAAATTACAAAATGGCAGCTAACATTTCAGTTTGTTCAGGTAGCAAAAAATTAATGCTGACAAATGAACTCATCTCCCAAAAACGGACTTAATTGATCAGGGTTATGACACTGTGCACTCTCCCTCTGTCTCAGTTCTGAGGAGTAATTTCCTGAGCAGCCACAGTACAGCAGATCTCTTTGAGGTGAAGAGAAAGTCTTCAACTCTATGAAGATGCACATAAAGGCAATCAAAGTCAGGCTACAAGCACGCAAGAAAAAAGGGAAATGAAATAATTTAAAACAACTAACGGATACTCAAGGAAAATCAGGGTAGATACAAATACCAGTGTGTCACATTTAGGAATTCACTTTCGTAGGACCCAATCCTGTGAATATACTTGAGAGTGACTTAATGCACATGAATAGTCCTCCTGAAGCAAAGAGGCTAATACCTTAAGTACAGTTAATGTTTGATAGATTGGGCCCACAGTGAGTAACACCCTTTTTCATTTCCCCTTAACTGACGCTAAATGTAAAGCAAATGATGCTAGCAAGGGGATAGAAAATGCTCTCTTGATAAAGAGGGCTAACTGCTGCTATTCTGTAACAACCACCCACTTTCAGAATTTTCATTTTCCTGAAATTAATAAAAATCTAAGCGGATTAGTAATAAAATATGTACTCAGAACAGATGAATTGACAACTGATGCAAGTCATGTTTCTTTATTGCTAAAAATTCTTCATAAAAACCAATGTGGGCTTCCAGACATGCATCTTAATCTGTCAAGAGCCCAAAGTTCTTGAGGAACAGGTGATAATATTTAAGTGCTTATATTTATTGCTCATTCCTCTTTGACTGCATTTTGCACCATACTATCAAATTTCAGATTAAGGGACAACAGAAGCAACAGCAATTGTTACAAGCCTGTGTCCGACCAACCTCCTTAAAGATAAAAGTAACAAGGGTCTTCATGGAGCTACAATGTCTCTCAAATTAATTATCTTGAAACTGAATAAGGTAATTGCAACTTTCTCCCTGTTATTCAATTAACGGTATTCAAAAGACAACGTTTCACACTATAAAGCTCCTATATATTCCATGTAATAAATTGTGTTGTAAGGTTTTCCATTTTCCTTGTAATTTTTCAGTATTAAAGACATAAGTGTTTGTCAGTCAGAATATTAATATCTCATTGTGCACTGTCAGTGTCTCCATATTGAAGTGAAATGTCTCAGGATGGCTAGCCCTTTAATTGGAATTGCACCCAGCCTCAACTGACAGATCAGCTACCTCCCAACTGAGAGAGATCAGCTAGGGATCTCAGTTGGGAAGAGACCTGCCAGGAGTGGGGAGGCTCTGGCAGTAAACCCATGGGTAGTGTGGGGGAAGGAAAGTTACAGGAAGCAGGTTGGCACCTATATCAGGCACTGGGGGGTGACTCTCAAGCAATAGTGGCCAATAGATTGCTAACATGTAGGGAATCCATAGGCCCCTGCAGCAGATCCCAGATTAGGGGCAGGGACAATTGATGTGTTGATTTTGTGTTAGGTAGAAGAAAGCTAGGAGAAAAAGGACTTGTACCAGTCTCTAGGAGTAGTGTCAATTCGTCCAAGGCTAGGAAGAGAGGCCAACAGTCTATAGAAATTAATTTTCCAGTTGTATGTTTTACCCTTTAACATGTAAAGCTGCACTGACAGTGTTAAACCACCAAAGGATCAATTTTATACCCAAATCACCCCCAGTGATTACTACTGAGACAGTGATTACTGTTTTGAATAATCTAACTGCTTTGAATAATAATTATGATTGCCACAGACCTGCATCATAATTTTATAGATTTACAAATAATGGTATGCTCAGTACAGAAGCAGTTTTCAAACAAATGTTTTTGCTAGTCTTAAAAAAAATAAAAATAAAAAAAAATGCCACACACACGACAAACGCACCCCTCTTTGTATTGTTAACAACTCTGGCATTTTTATCACGAGTCTCATAATACTTAGCGTTTTCCTCAACCGTTGGCTCCTGGAATCATGTAATTAAGCAAGCATCTCAGCTTTTCATGTTTAAAAATAAGTAAGTTTGTAGCCCTCATGATTACAAAGAAAGGTTTAAGAACATGACCCTAAAGATTCAGAAGCTTGAAAACCAATAAAAAGAACCCACAATATATTTTTTATTGGGACTGGAGAGGACTGACTTATGATTATTGATCTCTTGGGGTTGGTAATACTGCATTATGGAATAACCAAACACACACTATCTTTTAAAGTAACTTTCAACAATTGGAAATCTTGAAAAAAATTATGTGATCACTAATTAAACTCTCCAGCAGATTAAAACTGAAGATAACTACACCTCTACCAAGGACCCGATATAACACGAATTCAGATATAACGCGGTAAAGCAGCGCTCCAGGGGGGCGGGGCTGCACACTCCGGCGGATCAAAGCAAGTTCAATATAACACGGTTTCACCTATAACGCAGTAAGATTTTTTGGCTCCCGAGGACAGCGTTATATCAGGGTAGAGGTGTACTTATATATAAAGAGCTTGAATACTAAAAACCAAATTCTGGACTCAAATAGACAAACTAACCTACAGGCCTTCCTGGGAGCTGGATATACATGCACAAGGGAGGATTTTGGCTCTAAATCCCGGTCAAATGTGATTTGAAATGAAGGAGATCAAACCCCACAACAATAGGTTATAATGGAAATCTACAGCTGCACTGATGAACTGCACACCCACAAAATTGTATATAAAATGCATCTGTAACACCATTCTTGTAAAGATATTATAAATATACCAGTTAATTGCTACATAAGTCTGAAAATGCAACATATGGAACGCCGCCCCCTCCAAAAGGATTACCCTGCAAAAAGAATAAAATAGAACCCTACAAATTATTAGCTTCAAATGTGTCTAGAGCAAAATGTAATTAGACCATTGCTTAGAAGCATTGTGTATCTTCCATAACAGTTCTCAACAGCTACCTGGCAAGTTGGTTCCCTAGTGCCATTAAATTCTGAAATTAGATGTGCATAACTGAACAAATGGATGCAGCGGATTATCCAAAGTGAGGTCAGTGCATGATACTGTAGACTGCAATACAGAAACTCCGTGGGATTTTAAGTACTTCAGTGTCTCATGCACAAGCAGACAGAAGTACTTTTCTACTTATCAGATAATTTTGCTCGACTGACAACATGTGTGATTTGTAAAATAACTCAATAAATCGCATCTTCTGTTCAGAAAGATTTCGAAAACTGGCAAAAAGTGATTAGTTACCTGATCCTGAACTGAGCATTGAACCTCCATAAATATCCAGAGCCAGTTGAGAATAGGCGTAGCCAAAAACTGTAATGCTCAGGCCTACCAGAAGCACGAGTTTTAACAGTGACTCCAACACTGCTGCAGCCATTGCAATATCATCCTGGGAAAAGAATTTCATGATCTACATGAATCAGAAGCTACAGAATTCTGCAGTTTATTTTGATGGACATTTTCACAAAGAATTACTTTAAAAAAAAGAACAGCATTTTTCTACTGCTTTAGAGAGATGGTAAAATATTCATTAAGTTTTGAGTTATCCTTATACATTCTGTGTACAAACATATGCACTTTCAATCTTAACATACCGGTCATTTACCTAGCGTTTTATATGTTCAAAGCTCTGTACACTACATTATGTCTCACTGAAATAGTGGTAAACTGATAAGGGCAAAGTATTTTCCTAAGGCCACAGTGATTGAGTGGCAGAGGCAGGATTTTTACTGCTGTGCAGGAAGACAGCATTTGCATACCAGAACAGTCTGTTAACTTTAGTGTCCCTTCCGTAGCATCGGCCTATACTAGATAGGTGACAGAAATGTGAAAATTTATAAGGCACTTGGCCAATTATACAATATGAACATGAGAAAATATACATTTGTTATCCCATGCACCAATCAAATAATGCCCTGAAGCAAGAGATTTTATTAACCCTGTTTTATCATGTGTACCAACAAGTACTACTGAAAATAAAATATCTAATTATATTATTTGTAAACTCCAGAGGCTGAACTTTATGTTTTATGAAGTATTCCTTACATAGACTTGCATCTATAATTCACTTCCCTTGTTCTATTGTTATTTACCACCATGAAAAAGCAGTACAAGGCAGTTTTTACTATGCACTTCATAATCTCAAATAGCTCAGTTACAGTCTCATTTGATTAGTCTCTTTTCAAAGCTCGGGGGAAAAAAACCACTATTTTTTTAAGCGTAGTAAGTGGAAATATGACTATATAGAGTTCCATATATTTTCAAAGCACTGCACAAAGTAACTAGGAGCGTTACTGTCAGTTAACCTAGAATAAGACAACCTGAATGGTGTGTGCACGCAAGTGAGTAGAGTGAGGTTTATGTAAAACTATTTCGCAGTGTATTAACATTGAAGCTAACATTCTGGGAAATACCATACTATAGAGTTTTGTTCCCTTTATTCATTTTTACTTAGGCTTGGTCTACACTAACCCCCCAAATCGAACTAAGGTACGCAACTTCAGCTACATGAATAACGTAGCTGAAGTTCGAAGTACCTTAGTTCGATCTTACCTCGGTCCACACGCGGCAGGCAGGCTGCCCCGTCGACTCTGCGGTACTCCTCTCGCCGAGCTGGAGTACCGCAGTCGACGGCGAGCACTTCCGGGTTCGACTTATCGTGTCCAGACAAGACGCGATAAGTCGAACCCAGAAGTTCGATTGCAGCCGCCGAACTAGCGGCTGGGTATAGACGTACCCTTAGGGATGTAAGAGTGGCCATTCTGGGCCAGACCAATGGTCCATCTATCCCAGTATCCAATCTTCCCATAATGGCCAGTGCCAGATGCTTAAAAGGGAATGAACATAGCAGGGCTATAATTGAATGATCCATCCCCTTTCATCCAGTGCCAGCTTCTGAAACACCTAGAGCATGGGGTTGGCATTCCTGACCATAATAGCCATTGATGGACCTGTGCGGATGTCTGTGTTCTTACTTCTACAGTCTTTGAGGAACACATTTTTGCAATGACTTTCCCACCCTTTCCCTTCCCCTAAATATTAAAGGAAAAACTTACTCCCTTTAGGAGCTAGTAGATTTTTATGATTAGTTCTTTATTTTAAAGCACAGTTCTATAGCAGATGTTTACTAATTTAGAATTACACTCAACCTACTTGTTTCTGTAGCTTTACATCCGTCCCTCTTTCCAGCACCTTAGCAAAGAAAATGTAAAAACTCTCCTCTATTGGCAAAAAGATAAATCTAGCCACCAGAGAACCAAGGTTATTCACTATGTCATACACACCTTAAACAAAACAAAAACAAAGAAATCATATATTAAATTTTATAAAATATTTTATTTTCAGCTTCCTAGTTCTAGATCTTAAAAAGTTACGTGCACACAAACTCCTTTTGAGCTGGCATTTCTGGTGAATGGTCATAAATAAAACAGCACTTTGTCTCACAATATATAGAAGAACACTTTTAAAAGAAGCAGGATTCCTATCCATAAGGATTTTGGACCTAAACATATTGATAACAGTAAGCCGCTGGAATTACAAATCTCATTTTTGGACAGAAAGACAAGTTTGAGTGAAACTTAATTTATGTGCAAATATGTAATGCCCCTCAAATTATATTAACATTAGCAGGGGATGACTGTAGGAAAAACTCGTTGAGATACTATCAGTAGACACCGTAGAACAAATGTTGTTTCACTGAATGGGTACAAGATCAGGACTTCAATAACTCAAAAAAAAGGGAATAGCCATCTTCAAATGCAAGGTCCTTTTTTGTTTTCATTCAAATGGAAGAATTTTATATAAGCTACCAGAATGACACTCTACAGCACTCTAACAATTCTACCCCCAATAAGAAGTTGACTAGGGTCCAATCTTGCAAAAACTACTGTTCATTACTACAATGTGACTACTCACAGTGTATTAAGTACATACATAACTCTTTTCAGGATCATGACCTATGAATGAAATAATGGTCCTAGTTAGTTTCCCAACCCTAGGAAAAATACAGTGTTACACTAATGCAACAGTGTGGATTTTTTTTTAATTTCAGCTGCTGGTGCCTTGGAATACCAAGCAGAAAAAAAATCAAATGCAATAAATGCACATATTCAAAGAGAGAAGTGAAGGCAGCAGAAGCCTCAAAAGGAGGCAAAGACAGTTTAACAAAAGTGCTAAGTAAGATGCACTATAAAATGTACAATGTTCTTGCCTTCTCAATTACTATGGGGAAAATTTTCATCAAGAGAAACATAAAATTAAAGCCTTTGATCATAAACTACCAACATCTTCTGTCTACATCTTGCACTTCCCCATCATTTCAGTACAAAGTCATTAAGACTTTGAGATCATCTCTGAAGTTTCAAAATACCATTTCAATGTGGTGTCTTAATTTCAAAGTTTATGTAAAAGCACAAGCCAAGTAACTTTGTTACCACTTGGTAATATATCATGCTTACCCTGGTCTCCAAAATTTAGCACATTCAAAAAAGTCATCACGTATCTTTCACCTGTACATTCAAAACAAAGAAATTAACAATTAACAATGAATGTTAGTACCCATATCCTTTTCCAGTTTTTATTCGTCTACTTCTAGCAAGCAATGTTGTGAGGAAGCCAAAAGAAAATGTAAAAAAAAATCTATTAATTACACCATAGGCCTGGCATGAATTGAAGTCAATGGGAATTGAAGGTGCAAGCAGCTCTGAAAGTCAGGCCCAAAGTATTGAGTTGGACAGCTAGAAACAGAAACAACAAAAACTGTGGACACTTTAAAAACATTTTGTCCTCACTGATCAATAAAGACGCCTAACTGTTCTTGAATTAAATCCATCCTGTTTAAACACATCCCAGAAATCAACAGCAATGCAATTAATATAAAACTTTCAGAACAGTTCCAAAATGGATCAAACATGACCCAGCTTTCTCAAGCTCCAGATTAACCATAACATAGAATAATTAGTATGCATCACCAGCATCTGTATTTTCCAGCCATCCATTAATCTTTTAAAATTTACTTCCTCTTCTCTGTGCAGGAGATGTTGGACATATTATTGTATACAAAGGAGACTTTAAATAGGAAAAAGGCAAGGAAATGAGGAATAAAGAGTGACCTAAACTGGGACAATGTAAAGGATATTCCAGACTTGCTCAATATTTAAATTTCTACTGCAACAGAAAACCCTAAAGATATGTCTACACTGCAATGTAAACCCAGGGTTCAAACTCAGGCTCAAGCCTAACCCCCCTTTCATCCACACGCAAATCATGCTAAAACTAGAGCTCAGACTCAGGGTCCCAAGACCCCACAGGGTGGAAGGTCCAAGCTTAAGTCAAGCCAGGACCCAGGCTTCAAGCCCCATTGCTTTGCAGTGTAGACACAGCCAAAATGGACTTGTGCTCTGGGAGTCTGCCAAAAGTATCCCACAATCCCGTAGGCTGACTTTCTTTGTACTCTAGACAGTCAAGTTTATCCTTACTGCACTAGGAACGAAGGGAGAAAGAAGCCACATGTTCGGAGGGCACTAGGAAATCTGGGATATGCATAGTTGGACTTGGGCCAGTATAATGCAGCATTTGTTAACCTAAGGTTTGAGCATCTACACGAATATGTAAGCCCCAGGTTAACAAACCCAGGGTCTGCTAATTTGACTTCTACTAACACTGGGCTTACATTGTGGCATACACATCCTCAAATCTCATATAGATACTTAATTTGTGAACACTATTAAGATGCAACATTTAAGAGTGTGTGAGAAAACAATCCTTAAATCGATTCTGTTCCATACCAGCCAATCTTCATGATTTGTTGAGTTTATTTTCTTACATAAAGCATCTTTTGTGTGTTTGTTTTTAAAAAAGACAAAATGTGGAGTGGGCAAATATCAACTACAACTGATGGCCAAACTCACGTTCATTAATGTTAGAACAAATCTGAAAAAGTCTCCAAGGCCAAAAGGCTCATATGCTAAACCAGTACGGCACAGAGGCTCTACCGCAGTGGAGTGCTCATGCTTTACTATAACATACATTTTAAAAAAACAAAAAAAACTAAAAATTTACCATGACATATCAGGGCACAATCCAAGCTAGCGGGGGGGCCATGTCACCCCTGTCCTGCAAACACGGAATCCGTGACTTCCAGCGACCTCTGTGCTGCTGGCAGCAGGAGACCCCACAGCAGCCCATCCTCCATGGGCAGCAGAGGACCCTCTTGCAGCTGCAGGTGGTGGGACTCCCCGCAACTGCCCAGCTGCTGCCATCAGCAACAACCCCAGAGCTGCCCAGCCACCGCTGCTATCAGGGGTCCCCCCTGCAGCTTCCTGCCGCTGGCAGCAGTGGAACCCCGGAACTGATCAGGGGCCGCAGGTGGGGGGTGGAGAGAGGGCACACAGCTTCCATCCGGCGGCGGCAGAGGGACTCCAGGGCTGCTCGGCACCCAGGGGCAGGGGGCCCCATCCTCAGGGCTCCCCAGCCTCCGTCGCTGGCAGGGGGCCTCCCACAGCTCCTCTGTCACTGCGGGCAGCAAGGAAATTTGCGCGCACACACACACACACACACACCCCACAGCGCCCAACCCTGCAGGGCAGCAAGGGGACCCCTCCCAGCCACTGGGCAATGGAGTCCTTGCAGCTCCCAATTGCTGCAGCGGGGAGGGGGCAGGGTGCTGGACCCTCCTCCCTCCCCATTTTGTCAGAGATTTTTTAGTAAAAGTCAGGGACAGCTAACGGTTTCTGTGATTTTTTGTTTATTGCCCATGACTTTTACTAAAAATATCCATGACAAAAATTGTAGCCTTACTTACTATGCCTTGCTGTAGTACCCCCCTCCCGAGCCACTCAGCCGTCCAGCAGACAAGCTACACACTGAGTGTCTGTGCATATCTGCAGTCTGCCAGCTACACCCTGGTTCTCACCAGCCTTGGTTATACTGAAGGGTGACTCTAACATGCCCCCAGTCCCAGATCTTCCCCCAGAAAGGACTATCCTGCATTGCCCTACCCTCTCCTGAACAGTACAAATATATTTAATCTATTATTCCTTTAAAGAAATAATGTGCCATCTTATTACCTTAAATAGTTACCCAGGCCCTCCAACTTAAACACACTGGATTAGATTAAACAGTAAAAAAATTTTACTAACTACAAAGAAGTAATGAGGCATAAAAGTCAGAAATGATTACAAGAAGATAAAATACTTACTTGCTTCTATTTAAGAAACTAACCTAGTTGCAAAGCAAAACTTTCTAACCACATGCTTCCAACAAGATTACTGACCAAACTCTTCAGGTCAGGACCACCACTACCACCACACCCCTCACCTTCCAGAGTCCAACAGCTGTTTTCTTTTGCCTTTTTAGGTGTGGTGCCAGAGAGACAGGGAGAGAGAGGAAGGTGTCTTGGAGCTTCTGCCCCTTCTTTTATAGTCCTATTCTCCTGAGAAGCATTTCAAGATAGGAACAAGGTGACGGGCAATCCACTGAAGAAGAGTAACTCCATGCTTTTTTGTTAAGATGCAGATTTTTGTCCTTACCCCCTTCCTCGCCAAGGCCACTTAGCAGGTAACGGCTCATCAGCCTTGTTGACACCCGACTGAGGCATCAGCTTCCCTTTGTCTCTGAGGAACTGGTTTAGCCACTCCCCAAAATTATTTGGGAAACATACTTCAGTCATGATTTCAGCTTATGTTCATAACTTCACATATAATGTTGCTATATGCATTTTGCCATATTATTGATCAGCAAATTATGCATTTTAAATAATACCTCATAAGGCATACCTTGCAGAAACATTATCACAATAGTGTAGGGTGTATATAGGGATGCAGACGTACAGAGATATATTCAGTCACACTTACCCTTGCAAATTTTATGCAGTCAAAAGTGTTCTGCCCGCTCTACTGGAAAAGCACAGAAAATAAGGCTGGGCCACCAATATGCTGATAACTCCTTTCCTATTGCGGGTGTCAGTATCACAACCACACTACTACTAGTCTTTTGTGATTCTTTTCAACCAAATGTTATCTGTGGTTTCCTGCTATTGAATTGACAGCCAAACAAGCAATACCAAGGTCTTTCCAACCATGGACAGGCATGAAGAGGGCACATAATACTCACCTTCTGTCAACATCTGTTTCAAGAAAGATTGTTTAAAGAAGCTCCAAGTCAACCTAGCCTCTTTCCAGTCAACCACAGTCTGCAAGAAAGAAATACGTACTGTGATTTAACCATTGGAGTTGATTTTGAGAATTAGAATTGCAAGATAATTTGTGAATACATTGCTCTTATCATCAAGGCCAACTCCATCTACTCTAACCCCCTGTACTAACCAGGAAAACCGTCTCTATTATTGCAACTAATGACGAACGTAAAATATTCTTGAATACAAGCACAGACTTATCACTACAAGTGACAGACTACGATCAGTCTCCACTGCATTGCACCCTACAGAAACAAAAAGAACAAGAATAGCTGAAAGTTTCTACCAGGAAGCAGGGCTGAGGGGGAAGAGCGCAGGCGGGGGAGGGAGAGAGAGAGAAGGGGGCGGCCAGGGCTACAGCAGGGGCACTACCACGCAGCCCCTCCTGCTGCGCCGCCTCCTGCCACGAGGGCTCCGCTCTGGTGGGCGGGGAGGGAAGGAAGAGGACTGCCCTGCAGGGCACTCTGGTTCTCCGCGCCACCACCCCCTACAGGGCGGCCGGAGCGGAACAAGAACAACAACAACAAAAAAGCGG